AATTCAAATTTAGATCTAATTAAAGCTATAGTTTTTTTAAATATATAATTATACAATTTTTAAAGAAGTCCTATATATATATATTGTTTAAAATATTATTATACTATTTGATTTAACGTCATAATCATTTGAGTTGTCTCGAGACACAAAATAAAATGTTCTAACGAGGTAGAAACTTAGTAGGCTTAGCTATAACTCTGACTGTTTATTTTCTCCTGATATTAGAGTCTAAATTTACGAACGTGTATATGCATACTTAGAGTGGTACTTATGCTGGATCATCCATTATGGCACAACCGAGTCGTTTTATCTTTCCATTTTTTTTTCTCTTTCTTTATTCCCCGTAACACGTCGGAATTTTTATTCCCCTAACTTCAATCTAATCCTACCTAGAACGACTTAGCCATTAAATGTGAACACGAGATGAAGATTCTCTCGTTAACATTCACATGCATGTACATTTATATTATCGTTCGATCGATCGTTAATATCGATATTCCTTAACTTTTTATATTTTTATTTTTATTTACTAACAATAAGCTTATTACTTACATGATAAGATAGAACGTTTACGATCGCATACCGTTAATAATATTGATCCTTTTGCATATAGGTAAAAATACAAGTAATATTTTTTTCAAGTAACTTCCGTTTGCCATCTCGAGAAATCGAGTTTTATGTATATGTTCATGTGAATGAAAGAGAGAGTGTGAATCATTGATGAGTGACGTTGAGAGAGTGATTCGAATATTTACATTGGTTTTTCCACATCCTTATATTCTCTTGTAATAAATACTCTTTATATTTATTAAACAAAATAAAAGAACATAAGTTTTTATTCATAATCCCACAAACGTGTATATATGCATGTAAGTACTTATATCCATATCAAGATATGTATATTTACTTATATATATACAAGGTATTTCAAAATATGTATGCATAATTTCAGGAATGCTTTTAGAATGCTAAAATAAGAAAAAAGTTCTTACAATACTATGTTCAATATATAAAATAAAAACTTTAGGTGTCTTTACAAATAAAAATCCAATGAATTTAGATTAGGCGATCATGCTGGTCAATTAATTGGTCTTCTATGGTCAAACTATTTATTTGGAAATCTCTCATTTAAAAATTATCTCGTTAGACGACTAAAATGTAATGGTGTACCATTATTGGAAAACAAAAAAACAGCTATTATTTGGAAACGAAGTTATATTGGGCATATGATTATATGAGCTATATATTTTATTGTGGTGTGTTGAAAACAGTCCTAAAAATAGCTATAACTTGGAGACAAAGTTTTTTTGGGTATATGAGCTTTTATTTTTACTTTAATGTACTGAAAGCAGCCCTCATGTTATATCAACATAGTTTGAAACAACCTGTATATACCTATCTACTCAAATAACACTGATCGGTCTTAGTGTCACGTGGATGTTATGCGCTTTTCTCAGAAAGGCTAGAGCATCAAGTCAGTACAATAAAGAGAATCCGTTCTCGCGCATCCTAAGTCGAAGCATCATTCACTCTGGACGTTTCTAACGTCTCAGATAGCACTTGGCGCTCTAGCCACCATAAAAGGTGACGTACGAAATACGCCTATGTATATATGTATTTCGAGTAAAATGGATGGGTTATATACATGATAAGTACAGTATGTCGCAGAAATATTTGTAGACTATTCGCAAGTGATAAATGATAAGAAATTGATAAATAAATTAATTAAATAATCAAATTAATCCTTTTTTGCGTTCGATATTTTTGGTGGGAGAGCCGAACTAACAACTCGAAACAATTACGTTTGTAATTCATATTTCAATTATCTTTACATCTAAAAAAATAGAATTGTTTAATGTTAATAAGAAATATAAAATATCAAAGAAAACAAAAAAGATTAATTAATTTGGACTAATCTGTTTCTAGTGTATATAAATCAAATATTTAGAACATTGTCAATATTTAATAAATTATTAGACTATTTTGATGCAATATAATGTAAATTAGATAGAATAAGAGAAATTTCGTTCAAATATTTAGTCTAATACTTACCATGGAATATACTATATGAGAATAGAGTCGTGCGAAACCAATAATCTATCCTTAATTAATTCAAATGAAAAGTATATGTAATCAGCATATATCCGTTCTCATAAGTTTCAATTGCAGAAACATTCCACTGACTAGACCAATTTCTTTATATCCTATAATCCATACCCATAACATGACTCCACCTTTCCGGTCATCCACCTCTTTTTCTCTTCCTCTCTCTTTATCTCTTCCTTCGGAAAGGAAGAAAAAAAATATGAAAAGACACAAAAATCTAAAGATCAGCAGCATCCACCTAGTCGGTACATCCTTGTTGAAGTTCACTGACCCTTATACATCTCAGATATACATATATATATTTCCTTCCTGCACCCTTTCTATGCATGCATTGTGTATCGAGTTTAGCATGCATGCACGCGCGCAACCGTAGAAATTCTACGGGTATATAATTCGATCGGCATTGTTCGCCAATCGCTACCAAGCCAGACGTCGGCCGCTTATTGCCATAATTGATTCACTTAATCGTGGGAGTGATGGACACCTCCTTGCCTCTATATGCTCTCTTTATTGCTACTGTCGTTACTAGCAACATGCTAATCGTAGAGTTTGCATCCTAACTGACGTTGAAAGGGGAAAAGACCCCCTTGTTTATCTCATAATTCGTATCATCGACTTATCATATTTCCTAAAATTAAGTAAATTATCCGTGAAAGATTTCGATTAAAATAAGTATTTTTATTATATATATATATAATCAAATATGAATCGTTTAGAACTAGAATTATAAAAAAATGATTTAAATTAATGTTTATAGTATTGGAAATAATTATTAAAAAAAGAAATTAGAAACATTGTTTGCACGAATGAGAATTTTAAAATAAATAATTTGATCGAATTTAATTTGCCTATGAAATTATCTAATAGTTTTCTAAGCAATGATTATTTCTGATATGTTAAATTTATACATAATAGAATAGGATTAGATATCTTGCTAATTCAAATGAACGAGTTTAGTATAGAAATTTTCTAGTCGAGGTTAGATACTAACTATTTTTCTGGAAATCTCGTAGTACACGTATCTAATACTAAAACATTAATTTACAACATACTTATCTTCTACCCTAACATCCAAACGTGATAAGGCTCTTCTCTGAATGACTATTTCACGACCTACCAATCGTAGCGAGTTTCTCTCTAGAAAATGTACGCAAATAAAGTTGTTGTTATCTTTCTAGCAATAAAATTACTAGGGATACCATAGTCTGCTCGGTAAACAATTTATTACCACTTAAAACTTTAGACAGCACAATTCGACAATCTCAAAAAAAATCAAGGAGAATTATCCAATAAGTTTTAATTTTTTCAAATGAGGAGGTAATTTATCAAAAACACATATATTTTATGTAACAACAACAAAATAATAAAAAATAAAAATAGTAATCATAATAATAATGTATCTAGTTTAAATTTCTTTGCGTCCTCTTCAAAGTACCATTAACTCGACATCTTCCGTTAAAAGGTTAATGAAATTTTAGTATTAGTTTTTATCAGAATTAGTGAATGTCAGCAAGATTAGAAAAATATCAAATCAATTACAATATTATCTTTGATCAGATATAATGTTCAATATTATATAGTAATAAAATCACTTTTTCCTTCAAGGTTTATCTTAACTGTACTTATCAATTTTATAATTTCTTATATTTTAAATGGTTCGTTATATATATATATATATCTATATGCATATATAGGGAACATAATAAATCCTGTGTGCTGTTGACCCGATGATCACTGGACCGAGACCAAACGTACCGGACCTAGACGGTAGATCTCTACTCGATCGGTCAGCCGGAAGCAATTAAAGTTTCGACGGAATCTCGCGAATAAATATTGCGATCTGACTTAGACGGTGCCACGTCATTGGGGTGAATGTCTCTTAGTCGTGTTCTTGACTATTACTCTTGAAGTTCACACTTGATTGCTATTAAAAAGAAAAAGAAAAGTTCTTAGTTTCATTTATAGAATTTCAAGTGAAATAAAATGAATTAATATAATCATTATCGATCTTATGAAGATCGATACGTGCCATTATAATATTATCCTGAAAGTTTATATTTTGTCAACATCGTAAAATAAATTAGAACATTTAATTATGATTACGATTGATTTTATAAATCAATAATTATGAAATATAATTATTATAATAGACCTTCACACACAATTTTTAATATAACATTATTCAATTATTATCATTTATTTATAATTGTGTTCTATAAAAAGAATTTATTGATGTATCGAACGTTTATTTAAATGAAAATGAAATAATACCTGATGGTATGTAGAGCACGGAAAAATGAAAAAAGAAAAAATAACGTTCGCCATAAAGGATGACTCTCTTCGTTTATTATTATTCGAGCCAACAATTTTTTGTTTCCTCGACTTTACTCATTACTTCCTTTGCGGTGAGTATTATTACGGGTGTTGGCGATATTATTACTATTATGTCATTACGATAATGCGGGCGTACCTGGTCGAAGAGAAAGAGAGAGAAAGAGAGAGAGAGAGAGAGAGAGACGGGGGAGAGAGAAAGAGAAAAAGGGAGGGCGAGATAAGGTAGAGGGCGATTTTGATGGGTAATAATAAAACAGGGTAACGGTCGTCTCGTTTCAGATGCATTTCTAGTTAATTGCCTTTGTATGTGTATATGCATATATATGGGTAACATGAATACCGCTTCGTTTCTCAGTCCCTCACGTGAAAAATCGAATTGCACTGATATTTACGACTGAAATTCTCAACAAGAGATCCCACTTACGGGTATACAAGTATACTGTATAATCGACTTTGTAAGAGACTTTCTTGAGTTACAATTTATTACTCTTTCGTATCATAATAACTGCGGAATCGATGGTTTTATTTTATCTCATTTTTGTTTCGTATTTTTTTTGCAGATTATGTGTCCGGCGCGTGTCCCCGGATATGCCCACCAAGCGGGGAACCGGTATGCGGCAGCGACGGTATCATTTATGCTTCCCAGTGTGAAATGCGGAAGAAGATGTGTGGAAAGGGTAAGGAGCTGTTAATTACCTTCATTATTGCTCGTTTCTCACAAGTATGTTACCACGTATACGTTACATTTTCATTACTTGCGATCGTCTTCGTGTTTGTATCCTGCTACTTTATTAAAAGCTCATTCTTTAATCAATTAGTTCTTCAAGAGTTAATTTTCTGATAAATGTATATACAGTAAAATTATCATTGGTAATTCTATATTTCACAGTCCTAAGTTTATGAATGACATTAATTAATTATAGATAATTTATTTCATTAGATAAGTTACAAGTTTAAAAGTTTTTAATTAAAAATTATTATTAAATAATTGAATGATAAATATATATTGCAGAATAAAATATTTTATTAATTATTATTAACAATTTCAATTAATCATTTTATTAACAATACAAATAAGATGTTTCAAAGTAATGAGAATATAGAGGACAAAAAATATTTTTAAAAAATATATATAAAATTTGAAGTTATCTAATCGTGATCACCAAGTCGATCGTTAATCAATCTAACAGTGAAAATTCTGTTCAGGCGTGACGGTAGCGACAGAAAAAACCGCTTGCTTAAGATCATCGGGTAGCAAGTGCGAGCATCGTTGTTCCGGAGATCAAGATCCGGTATGCGGTACCGACGGTCGAACTTATCTCAACAAATGCATGATCAGAGTAGAAATCTGCAGGGTGGGAATTGAGCTCTCTCATCTTGGACCGTGCAACAATATTTCTGCGCACAGAGAAAACTGTCCGGTTTCGTGTGACTTTGCACCACTCGATGGCCCCGTATGCGGTAGCGATGGCAACGTTTACAAATCCACATGTCAAATGAAGCTACTCACTTGCGGGTATAAACAAATTAAGTTTATCTCTATTCTATTAAGAAATTAAAATAATAATCTAAACTTATATTTTTCACATATTATATATTTTAATATTTATTATTAATCTATATTAATAATAATAGAGATTTATATTTGAAAATGACAATTTTTTGTAATCTAACATTAAATCATTATTTTTCTTTCTCATATAAATAATTATTTAGAGAAGATAAATGCGTTTATTACCATCTTTAATAGAAGTCATTCTAACGATAAAGATCGAAGATTTTCGTCTTGTAAAAAGGGTGTAGGTATATGTACATATGTGTATTATTACCCAGAGGAAGTACATTCCAAAGATAACACTTTACGAAGTACCGGTACTAGTTTTCTAGAGAAGGCAAAACCTGGAGAAACCTCGCATAGCTCGTTGCAATAACAGATACAATGAAAATAAGAGAGAAAGAGAGAGAGAGAGAGAGAGAGAGAATGAGTGAAAGAAAGAAAAAAAGTGAGTGATAGAAAGAGAAAGAGATAGAAAGCAAGGAGTTATTCTATGGATTTGCAACGAAGAGTCGCGCTAATCGAATCTGATTTTTATCTTTTTTTTTTTTTTAATTTTATTTTCAACAGACAAGGAGTCGTACGTACGAACAAGAAACACTGTCAGACCACAAGACATTGTCGTGAATCGTGCTGGCGTGGTGCAAAGCCAGCCTGTGGTAGCGATGGTATCCTCTATGCGAACACCTGCAAAATGCGAGCTAAGAATTGCGGGTAAGAACGGAATCCTAGTTTCTACTACGATTACAACTATTACGGTATATTACTTACCAACCTACCTACCTACCTACCTACCTACCTACCTACCTACCTATCTACATATCTACCTACCTACCTACCTACCTACCCATCAACCTAACTATCTATCTAGTATGCATATAATATCTACGTAATATCGCAATTTACATTTCGCCTGAAGCAAAACGTAAAGTCTCTTGTGGCCCTTCGAACTACCTCATTCCATTTTCCTTGTCTTCATTTTCTTCTTTTTCTTTTTTATGTTTTCTCTCTTCCTCTCTTTCTCTTCCCTGTTCGCAAACGTGCTTCGTTATTAACGAGCCACTTCGTGTACCTACTACGTTAACGTTGCAAGCACATACGTTCCTTCTGAACGTTCGTTAGTCCTTTTATCCATTTCTCATAAAGTTTCGTTGCTTTATTAGGACGAAGGATCTAGTGAAATATGGTTGAACAATATCTTTTATGAATATATTCGCGTAGATACAAGTATTCCATTATTTTATTATTTATTGTAGATACATATCACTGATTTATCGTTATCAGTTTATTACATATTCTAAACAAATACTTTTTATAAGATTATTCTAATATTTAATTACAATATACTACAGTTATTAAATTTTTAACATGTAATTTTTATTTATTTTGTTTCTTTTTACTTTCCGGAACATTAGTATAAAAATATTTTTTTGTAATTTGTTGATGTGTCGTACATTTAATGATTAATAAACATTCAATAAAATTTAAATATTCAATAGTAAACACATTAATTAATATTTTTAAAATTAGTCAAAAGTGTGTCTTTGTAAGTATTTATTTACATTTAATACTTCGTTTGTGTGTAAACTATTTTTATAGAAAGCACGTGTTCGAGGTGCCAATGTCATTTTGTGTGTCGCGAGAACGAACATCCGGAAGTCAATTGAACGCGTGTCCACTCGACTGTAGGCACGAGCCGGAAGTGCCGACCTGTGGATCGGATGGAAATATCTATAGGAACGAATGCGAGATGCAAATGCTCAACTGCGGGTGAGTTAGTTACTTTTAATTTCAATCGTAAGAAAAGTCATTTTTAAAATCAACAAAAAGAATTAGAAGTAATGATTCATATATATATGTATGATTTTAATTTTTAGAATTTTAAAAGATGAACCATTTATTAATTTCTTCTATTTTGTTTAGATTATTTAAATATTTTTACGAGCGAAAGATATTCAATATCATGTTATTGTATTTACTTACAATTAGTGTGGCATTTTATCCGAAATAATTAAAATTATATCCGAAAATTTTAATAAGGAAAATATTCGTATAAATATATAATAATTTTCATTCATTTTCTTTTTATGTATGTTTTAAATTAGAACATAAAAGTATCATAATCATCAATTTAAGTAATGAAATTATTACACGCGGTAAAGCAGAATATATTTATGAATCAATTTAATAAATATAATTTCTCATAATTAAAATTCCTGATTTTACTATTTTATGTAGCTATTAAATTGATTCATAAATAAAAACCGTTTTCTTACAATACACTTTACTTAAAACAGTAGTTATTTATAAATAAACTCTATATTTCCGTTTTTCATGATCATTATTATAAACTTTAAGTTAATGAAGATAAGCACTTTAATGTATAGAATTTTATTTATAGAATTTTATTTATTATTAATTTATTAAAGAAAAGAATTAGAACTGATATAATTACAAATGTTCGCATGAATATAAATTGAGATAATTTTTGAAAATTGAATCTTTACTTCCTTAATCTTAACAATTATCAAACAATCTTTTTCATTGAGATTAATACATTCAATTTTATAAATTTGAAATTACTTTTCATAGATTTAATTTTGTTACTTTTAACAATTTCTCTAAAAAAAGATTCGAGAAAATTCAATTAACATAAGCTAAATTATTTTTTATAAGATATGATTATTCGAATGACAAATGCGACACACACACATACACGACGAAGTAAAGAATCAAATGAACATTTATGAAACATTTTATCGAAGAGATGCTAAATATGTACCTACAGTTCAGTGTACAATAACTGTTCAAAACGAGCCTTCTTCCGCTTGGACAGACACTCTAAACCGTTTTGACGTTGAACGTTAACGCTTTGATGCAACGTACGGGTATACACACCGGTTGAACTCTTTGCTAACACATTACGATGATGCTGGTTGAAGGTCAAACGTGTCCACTCAACTTGAAGATGAGCCATGTTCTAACGTTCCATGTTGAATGAACGAAATAAAATATTTCAAGTAACTTACTGTTTACTTTGATCTTCTCTTCATCCAACGTCGAGATTAGATAGATCTGAGATAACAAATATAAGGAATATATTAATTTCTGTATACGATAACACACAAATCAAACAAAAACTTATTTTCACAACAAAATATTAAATGTTGAGAAAATTATATAATTAAAAAGAATAGGAGATGAATTAAGGAACAGAAAGGGTCTATATTAAATCGGTTGAACGGTTCAACAGGCAAGCTAGAAGGAAAGTGACCGTAGTAGACTTCGAGAAGTGTCGGCCACGTTTAACCAAGTGCATGAAGCAACAGCAACGATGTGGAAACGAAGTAGATCCGGTCTGTGGAAGCGACGCGAGTACATATCCAAATCAATGTCACCTGAACGTGGCGATCTGTCTGTGAGTAATCCCGTCTCGTTAAAATGAAAAAAAAATATACATTTTATTAATTAAGATTCATATAGATTCATGCTTGCTAAAGAAGCTTATCGAACTAAATAAAAGATATGTTATCGTGAATTAATTTTAATTATTGATGATAATCCTTTTTTAGAAAAGGTATTCAATTGGCTCACGTCGGAGAATGTACGACCTTGAAAGAAACTGAAGAGTGTCCTGATGATTGCAACGAAGTGCCAGAGGAACCTGTTTGTGGAAGCGACGGCAACGTTTATCGGTGATTACAAATGTTATTTCAATTCTCTAGGAATATTTAAAATAAACCCTCCTAAAGAGGATCTCGTTTGATCCATTTAAGACGATTCTTATTTTCCTTTCTATTTTTAAAAAAGGAAAAAGATAATACTGTCGTTTCTGCTTACATATCCTTATTTACTATATTAATGGTGTATGTACTAAAAAGTGTATGTTAATAATTTATTTGCTATTTATATACTCAAAAATTACTTTTATCGTATATTTATGTTCATATATATATACTATTATATTATTCAATATTAATTTATTTATCAATGTATGACTTTTACAATGGTTATTATAAAAGTATAAAAATGTTATTCAGTATGTAATATAAAAATCGATTGTAAAATATTGATAAATCGATCGATTATAGAGAAAATAATTTGAGTTTATAAGATTGAATTCGAATAGCTGATTTTTTCTATTTAGCTCGCTATGCCATCTTCGCCACGAGACATGCGGTCAAAGGGTAGTTCAGGTTCCTGCTCAGCATTGTCGTACTACAGCGCTTTGTAATCAAATCTGTAGTGGAGAACGTCAATTCGTTTGTGGTTCGGACAACAAGCTTTATCGTAACGAATGCGAAATGAAAAGGGACAATTGCGGGTAAGTTAATGTTTTAACATAGTTTAGAAACATTATTATTTTAATTTTATATTTGCTTATTATTCCTTTTTTAGAATGATAATCAGGCATTAATGTTAAATGTAAATTACACTGATAATTTTTAACAATTTTGCAGTTTATATTTAAGAATGTATATTAAGTATATATTATGATAATTTATTAAAATAATTTATCATAGTTTTTCTTTTTCATTTTTCAAAATGACAGTCAAGTATTTTATGTTTCGACACAAAAATGAATTTAGAAGACGCAACTAATATATTTGAAATTTGATATATCTTTTTAGAAAACACGTGTACGTGGTACCAATGAAACGATGCGTTCAAGGTTTCTTGTTCCGTGGTTGTCAAAAGATCTGCCCACCATATTACGATCCAGTTTGTGGCACCGACGCAATGACCTATAGCAACGAATGTTTCTTGGAAATAGAAAATTGTCGTAGCAGAAGCCTCGTCTCTAAAAAGTATCACGGCGTTTGTGGCCAGCCAACGGAGGAACCGAAAAATTATTTGTATTAATTCGCCGATCGAAATCGATTTAAAGAAAAACAAAAAAAAAAAAACAAAAACAAAAAAAGAAAAATAATAATAATAGTAATAAAAATATGTTCCAGGTTACATCGAACGAGATCGATCGGCGAAACGGTACTAAATGAAAAATCGTTCTTGAAATCTTAACAATACGATCCGTTTCGTCGATCGATCTTAAATATATGCGAATTATCGCGCCTCGTCTTTCGAAAAATGTTGCTTCGAGTAATTCGACGATGTGTATAACGCGTATATATTAATCTTTAAGAAAATTTTAAGGCACCAAGTGTATCGTATTTAATAACGAAAATGAAAACAAATACTCGTGCGCGACGAAATCGGTCGATTTAATTATTCGATGTCGTTCGATGAATTTCCAAAAAGAAAATCTTTATCGATTGATACTAAAACGAGCTTGCCAAGAGAAGACAATTATATTCTATAATATTTATAATCTTGCCAAGTTTATAGATACATATTGTCATTGAAAGCTGATAGGTAATCGACTTCGAATAGGATTGCTATACTATAATAATTGTCCAATGTCGAATCTATCGTTTAAGCGATCTTTTGCGAACGCGTCCGTGAATCATGGTATGATTATATATTTTGGATAAAATTTTTTTTTTTAATAAACCCTAAATGCGCACGCTTGTGTATATGATTGCAAAGTTAAAATATATTTTAATCAATGTGCACAATTACATAGTTTTTTATTAAAATTTATATTTTTTTAAAAATAATTATATGATACGATATAATATTTTCAATATTTTTTTGTAATAGTTATTTAAATATTATATGAGAAGTAAACTATATATATATATATATAACCATTTCTAAAAAGAAAAAAGTGATAAAGAAAAAATCATGCATTTAAAGGGTTACAAAAAATTTATCGATTTTTTTCAAAGAATATCGTCAGTATGCTTGTCGATGTTAAAAATGTAATTAAAATAAGATATAAATAATTCGTCATCTTCGGTGATTCACGAACGCGATAAAATATCAAAAAGTATCTTTCGTCATTCTCTTTCCCCAGTCCGCCTTATCCCTCATATTTATTTCTCACGTATCGTGCTTCAGCGTTATTCCGATCTCTCGCGACGAACAATCACAACGTGCCAAGATTGACGAAGAATCGTGCGAGGAAGGATCAAGAATCGCGTATAAACACGTAGGCTTCTAAACCGATTTCGCATTAGCGAAAAATATAGAATCATTATATTATTTATATTAGATTCTTAGCGTTCTTTTAATTATAGAAAATCATTATTATTTATTCTCTCTGTGTCTCCTTATAGGTTTCTTTATACATGATTTTTCTCCTATGTATGCATATACACATACATATATACTTAGATACATACATCCATACATACATACATACATAATACATAGCTATGGCTCTCGTTCTAAGCATTATCTCTTTCTTTCTAATCGATGTAATAACGTAAACAGTTAATACGTTTTCCGAAACAACTAAAAATAACAAAATAAATTTTTTCAGTTAACATAACTTTCTGATGATAATGCGAGATGTGTGTTCATATTATATAATTAATATTACGTAATATTATTATTAATCATTATCGTGTCTTTAATTTATTTTATCGAACACGCGAAGATCCTTTTTTGTATCGAAACTAACATTGTACACGCTTGTCAATAATAAACTATATACGTATATTTTAAGATATTAAGGGATTTCCATAAAGGCTATATTCTCTACGAAGTTATAAGCTTCTAAATACTTACTCGCTAATTATACGTTAACGTCTATCTTATATTCTTAAGTTACTTTAGAAATAATCAGAAAACTATGTGTCGAAAAGATATTAAACATATATACTTTAAATACATAAGTACCCATTTAAATGAGGAAACTTGATATTCGATATGTAAGGAATTCCTTTTAATCGTCTTTATCGACTAGGAAATAGCGAGTTAAACAATGAGTAAAATCTTTCAAATAACACTAAATTCGATTATAATCTTTTATTTCATAAAAATATGATTACGAGACGACTAATATTTTTTTTAAATTCTTTGACAAATTATATTACTTTAATCTTTAAGAAAATAAACATAATATCGATAAAGAAAGTTGGCGGAAGTCGTTCAAACAGTTTACGTGATAGCAGCTTCGCTTTTATGTCGACAGACAGCGCCACGTATGTCGGCTAGCTGAAACACGTACAGGTGGCGTTTTGGTGCACCTCTATTGACAGGTGCCGAAAAAACATGGCGCTCAGTGTTTACGACAACTGATCGCTGCCGATCGAAATCGCGCAATCGTCGTATATTCTTCGTTACTTTTGACGCGCTTTGCTTAACCAATTGGTGCTTAAATGTCAATTTTTAATTATTCGTAATATTAATAAATTCATTAAAACGAGATTATTTAAAAAGGTGCCGAAAGAAAATTTTTGTACGATAACGCGTGGCTCTCTTCTTGAAAACGGCGAGATCAGGTGGTGTGAGGATATCATCGACGAATCAAAAGGAAAGAAGAAAGAAAAAGATCTTTCGAGAGAGAAAAAGAGAAAGGAAAAAAGAGGGAAAGAGTTGTTAATTCAACGCTGAACATCAAGAACAATTGACGAGTTATCGTAAGTAATAATTATAAATACAATATATATTCTTGTCATTTTATTTCTATTTGTCAAATTTATTGTCGATAAAGTGTCGTTGACGTATATTGGCTATATAAAAGGAAGGGGTTTAACATGAGCGTAACAAGAACGGCGGGAGAGGCCATCTTTAAGTGTCCCCGTCGTAAGAACGAGGCCTGTACCGGCAAAAGAGAAGACGAGAGAGAGAGAAAAGTGAGAGATTACGCGAATCGTGTTACATAAACCGTTGTTGCTTCGGCCTTCTCGTTGCATCGTTCGACGCTCGGCCAACGAACGTTTGTCGTTTTACATTTCTCAAGGACAAGTTTCTCTCTTTTTCTCTTTTTCTCTTTCGTTATCTCCCTGTGTGATTTTCGATGTTACGTACCTGGAACCAAATGAATGTATACACCAAACTTTCTGTTGTTCCTGTTTCTCACGTATGTATATAACACTATACGTTAGTATATATGTAATATTTTATTTTATAATGTATGCCAAATATTTACCTTCTTTTTTTTCGTATTAAATGATTATTTAGATTTTACGTCGAGATTAAGCAATCGATACTTTTCGATATGACAAATTACGATCGTTTCAAACATATATGGTTTATATTAATCAGTTTTATTTGAACCCAATTTTACTCCTCGAAATGGCGCGAATATTGATTTCGAAGGAGACCAATGACCTTTTTATTATGTATGCTACTTTTGAGAATCGATGTGAGCTACGTATATAGATATATAATATTTTAAGATACTTCTTCTCTCTCTCTTTCTCTCTCTCTCTCTCTCTCTCTCTCTCTCTCTCTCTCTCTCTCTCTGTAAGAATATAAATATTTCTTCTCTCGCGTCTCGCAATAAGATTTAAATTTATTCTTCGAGAAATCGATACTTTCTATGGCCGCATTGCGCGATTCTTAACTCATCGAGCGTACTCGATGGCGCGTATTTTGAATTTTATGGAATGTCGATTAATTTTTACAAATTTAACCCTCTATATTCTAGCATGACTTTAACCTTTTGCATTCGAAGTTTTGGTTACTCATATTACTAGTTACTCGAAGCGATTTCAAAAGAAAAAACATATTCACGTGTAGGCAAATGAAATGTATATAAAAAGAAAAGTCATAGTTGTTTCTCTTATTGTTTTTAAAATTAATAATAGATGTAATAGTTTCGGATGTCATGAGAAATGCATTACTATAAAATAAATTGAAGATGATACCTTTAAACGTTAGCTAGTTAGTTATGTTACTATGGGTTGTTATGTTTATTATTATAGAAACCTTTTCCTTATATTAAAAAAAAAAACTAATTACACAATACTTTGCTGGAAAGATTTAATTTGCAATTTGTTAGAAGAATAAATGAAATTTAATATAGTAGAATAAATAAAGATTTGTTTTTTTTTTATTATATTATGAACTGGAAATTATTTGTATTTAAATAAAAATTTCTTCGAGTGCAAAGAGTTAAATTTATATATCGGTATTTTTTTGTGCTCAATTTAATTTCAGCCCCACTTTCTCACCCTCGCCCTAATTTAGCTGTGTTGTAATTTCTTTTTGGTAATCGATAAAATTCTTTGTAGGGGTTTTGTCAACTCTACTTGTAAATATCGGACTAAATCTAATACCTTTGACAATTTTTTATTTATTTTTATATTTACAGATCGATATTTAATGGTATAAAGTTTTTTACAGTAAGTACAAAAATTCCGACTATTGACTATTAATACTCGCCATTTATATTGATGAAAGAAAAGTTTTTCTTAAGGAAAATCTACAGATTATAGAGAACACATAACATGACGATTTATCTAATTATCGTTAAGGATAGTTTTGATAAATTCTAACTATTTCAAGTGTCCTTGATTATATATACGTTGAAGTTGAAGATAAACGTGGATAATAGAAGTAGCTCAAATTCCTCGCTCGATCGATTTAATTTATTGTGCTCATCGAAGGATGCTGCCAAGGAGTTACGAATCAGCGATTTTTATATATCAATAGAGAAAGAGAAAATATATCAATGAAATATATTATTGAGAACTTGCTTGAGGAATAATTAATGTTTATTTGTTATTTAAAGTTTTAAATTTGTCTGAAAATTATAATTTTATTTATATATTATTATATTGTCAGAATATACTAATACTAATAATAATATAATCTATATATATGTGTTAGTGTGTGTACATTATACAAATTTTTAGTTAAAAAAATTAAAAAAACAAAAAAGATTATGCAAGATAGTTAAAAATTGAGATATCTGTAAGAAAGAAAAAAGAAGAGAAAATAATAGTACAAACATTTTCATATTTGTAATTATTATATATTATATTTATTATTAATATTATTATTATTATACTAATCCGAGATACAGCTTGGACCAATGGACGAAATGTATCTCGTACCATTTCTACCAATCAAAAGTATTTGCCAGTCAGTTAACACGAAGATTCTTTTACCCTTCTCATTTGATCCAATCTTCTTTTTTTACTTTTTTTTCTTCCTTTCCTTTTGATTGATTCCGTTTAAATTGTTCCCTTTTCGTGATTGCTCGAATGTAGATAACTTCTTGTAGTATCTGAAGAAAATATATTTCGGTGCTTTATGAGAAAAAAAAAAGAAAAAACCAGAGTAAAAGAGAAATCGTGCTTGTGTGGTATATGTTTGATCATTTTATCTTTGCTTTTTCACGCCGCCATGGTTGCTTTCTTAAAATTTGCTTTAGTAGATAATCGTGATAGAAGCTACCGTACGAAGTTGAGAGAATCTCAAGATAACGTGAGGAAGCACAACGAACGAATACTTCTTCCAACGTTATTCAATCTGGTCTCTCTTGAATATTTATGCATGTATGTTTGTATGTGTTACGAAGTTATGTAGGAAAAGTAATCTTCAACGATTATACATATTTATATAGGATTTAGACGTCTCTTGATGGATAAATAAATCTCGAAGGATATCGTAACATCTCTGAAAAATATTACAAATTAGAACTTCAATAGAGTGATCGATAATAATAATCGATGATAACATGAATAAGCAATTAATATTCTTTAATGTATAATTTATTTTTTTTTATTCTTTAAACAAAAA